TTGAAGATGTCCCCTCCTGCGTGCTTTGCTTCAGCGGCAGTATGAAGTTTCTTGGCAGTCATTTTGTTATTTCTTGTTTCTCTGTAGGTTCTCTTCATTTTCGGATTGGGTTGTCTTGTCCTTCCTTTCTTGGTTGTTTCAGGACCGTTATCTTATACTGAATACTGTTGCCTTGTATTGTGCAGTGCTGGTGGAGCCGCTTCAGCTTGCGCTTGGGGTGGATGTTACTTCTGCTACGTTCCACAAGCTGTCTCGTGCATTGTTTCGCCTCCGGCCTGCTCATGCGCTGCCTGAGCTATCCTGGTTGTTGGACTGGGTGCTCTCTTTTCTATCTTCTTGGTTTGTTGTGGCTCCTTCAGTTCAAGATTGTTTTGTGAAGGCATTTTTCCTGTTGGCATTTGCCTCTGGGGGTCGGGTTGGGAAGCTTCATTCTTTTCTCCGGCACAGAGGTTTCTGCTCTTTTCATCCTGGTGGTAGGTTTGTTCATTTTCAGCCATCAAATTCTTTTCTGGCGAGACTGCTGTTTTCCAGGGGTTCTTGGGTTGTTGATGCTTGGTTGGTTCGGCAACACCATCATGTGTTGCGTCTAGTTGCGGCTCTTCTCCATTACCTGGGTGCCACGGCCTCGGTGGCCAGGGTCGTGCATTGGGTTGACCAGATTTCCCTTCTTCCCAGGTTGTTCGCAGGGTTATTCGGTCCAGCCAGCCTGCAGTCTATCCTCATGCCCATAATGTTCGTAAGTTTGCAGCTTTGGCAGCCGTCTTTTGTAACATGTCTTGGACTGACAATTGGGCACGGAGTTTTTGGAGGTCTAACAGGGTTCTGGCCGCTTGCTACCTAGTTAGTTTTCCTGGCCCTAGTTGAGCATGTGTAGCGCTTCATCAGTGGTTGCAGCCAGTTGTCTCGACTTCGACTTGAGGAGCAAATGGTGACCACCTCCCGGATAAATCCCTCTTGTTTTATCTTTGGTTAAGTAGCTGGGAGGCGAAGGGGCTCCCCTAGAAAATTAGCATTGAATGTAATGAAACACCATTTTCTGGGATGAGACCAAGAGGCTCCCCGGCAACCCTCCCTCCCTCAGGTCAGCAGTTTTTGTGTGTTTTTACATCCAGTCTCAGAACTGGGTGTGTGATAGCCTGCGCTGAGGTTGGGGCTCTTTTCCCCTCCACCTCCCAGGGAGGGAGGTGCGCAGACAGCGACACGGTGACGGTTGTGACTTTGTGCTCATTTGCTCATTTTCGTTTGGGGAGTTCTGGCCAGCAGTTTGGCTTTCTGTAACAATTTTGTAACCAAATAGGGTTTGTTTTGGGCCACCTACCTTTCTGGGTGCCTGACCAAGTCAATGGCAGATATAGAATGCTTCCAACCACACGGGGGGGTTTCTATAGGTTATTTCTCCCTGTGCCTCTCTGAGGGGGGCTAGGTTCTGGCTCATGGTCCCTGGTGGACCTAGAACTCCATTCATTTTGACTGATGCCAGGGTCTAATGTATTCATATCAGCCCAGATAGTTATGAGGAGCCTCCGGGTTTAGCCTAGAAAGTGGTGTTTCATTACATTTAATGCTAGTTTTACGGAAAATACACTTAAGTGTACAACTGGGGATCTAGATTTTCACCGTTTCCTGTACCGGAATGTTTCTTTTGTTACTTTTAAATTCTAAATTTTGGAGGTGAAATCCTGTGAACAGATTTTATTCATTGTTGAGAGCGATCCATTATATGCACAAACCCCTGCAGTGGAATGTTTCTTTAGATTGTCATTTAGGGCTGAATTTACTATTCAACTGTGTCTCAATTTTTTAATTATAGCCCAGTGAGGGGTGATTTGAAAGGACCTCTGTCCTTTCTAACCTTACTTCTTAAAATATCTGGGATGATGGCCGTATGACCCTGGTTTGAGTAGGATGAGGCCTGGGTAACTGATACCTGTGTAGTATGCTCAAAAAGAAGGTTTTCATCTACAGTATGCTCAGTCTTATTTCTGGGGGGAGCCCTGTTGGCTCCCCCAGAGCTATCCAGGCTGATATCCAGGAGTTTTGTGGGCCTACCGGGGACCACGAGCCAGAACCTGGCCCCCCTCGCAGAGGCACGAGGAGCAATGACCTATAGAAACCCCTGTGTGGTTGAAAGCATTCTATGTCTGCCATCGACCTGGTTAGGCACCCAGAAAGGTAGGCATCCCAAAACAAACATCTACTCTGGTGAAAATTGCTACAAAAAGCCGAACAAGTGGATAGAACTCCCCAAACAGAAGCGAGCAAACGAGTATGTTGCGTTTGCCGTCTGCGCAGCTCCCCCCCTCCCCGGGAGGGGGAAGGGGAAGCCCCAGACCCCCATGCCGGCCATTCACACCCCAGTTCTGAGGCTGATGCTATAAGCAGAGATCGTGTGTTCTGGCTCCAGTGGTTGTTTCAGCACTGTGCCTTGTGTGTGGTGACTGTCTTCTAGGTTGTTGTGCATGCCAGGAGTGATTTTTCAGTACTCGGGCTGCATGCGCCTAGGGCTCCCTTCTCTAGGTGCCCAGTTAGTAATGTCCCTCAGGCTTGGGGCCACCTTCCACAAGTTAATTAGGTTCTGCCTCTGCTAGGCCATTTACTGCTTGGTTTTCAGCCACCCTTTGAGTGCCAGGGGGCTTCTGTCTCCCTTGTTTGCCTTAGGGGTAGGGGGCAGTTTGCACTGGTAAGGGGTGCAGGGTACTGTGCAGCTTTTTTTTACCAATCGTAGCGGCCTGCTCTTTTCCGTCTGGGTTCACCGTCCTCTTGTGGGGTTTTCTTTTTCTTTATGTTTGCCTGCCTGGTGGGGGGGGGGGGGTCTGCCTTGGTTATTGTTTCCTGTGTACTGAGTCCTCTTCTCTCTTCCGGTGGTGTCCCCTGCTTGGTCCCCGTGAGTGTACACGTCTCAGGGGTTCAGTTATTAGAAAATTGCTTGGTAGACTTGGGCGCCGGTTAGCAGTCACTGCACGGCTCCGCCTCTTCCTCAGCTCGATCGGTCCATGGTGGGGCTGGTTTGGTTCTGCCTCAAGTCTTTCACCATATGTTGGTGATCAGGTGGTTTAGTTGATGGTGTACCGCCTGTGTGCTTCGTCTCGGCGGCCATGTGGGGATTTTTGGCATCCTTCCTTTTTTCTTTTTGTCCCTTAGTAGGTTTGATGAGGTTTGTGGAGTGGTCTTGTCCTTCTCTTGTGGAGGTTCAGGGCCATCACCTTGCTGCATACAGTCGCTTTGTTTCGTGCGGCGCTGGCGGAGCCGCTCTGGGCTGCTTCGGTTTTGGTATTACCTCTGCACCAATTCGCAGACTGTCACTGGCGTGAATCACCTCTGGCCTGCTTTTGCGCCGCTTGAGCCGCCCTGGTTCTTAGATTGGGTGCTCTTTTCTCTTCTCGGTTTGTTGTAGCCCCCTCAGGTTCTAGATTGTTTTCCGAGGATCTTTTCTTGTTGGTGTTGGCCTCTAGGGATCGGGTCAGGGTGCTTTCTGCTCTCCTATGGCGCCTGGGTTTCGGCTCTTTTGGTTCTTCTGATAGGTTTGTTCTCTTGCTGCCGTCTCCTTCTTTTCTGGTGAAGACTGACACGACTGCTTTCCAGAGGGGTACTTGGGTTGTTGATGCTTGGTTGGTCTTGCCGGGGGTGCATCGTGTGTTGTGTTCGGTTGTGATGTTTTGCACTTCTATCGCACGTTTCGCACTTGCATGCCACGGTTGCCGTGATCGAGGTCACGCTTTGGGCTGTTCCGTTGTTCTTTCTTTCCTGTTCCAGGGTGCGATTTCTCATAGGGGTTGTCTGCAGGGTGGTCCGGTCCTGCCAGCCTGCTGTCCATCCCCGTGCCCTCGTCATTCGTTGGTTGGCTATGCGTTCCTTCATTGATGTTCCTGGGCCTTGTTGGGCCTGTGTAGCGTTGGGTTAGCAGTTGTAGTTTTTTGTCTACGCTTCACGTTGGGGAGTGTGCGACTTCCGCCTCCCGGGTTCAGTTCCTCTTGTTTTCGTCTTTGGGTAGGTAGCTCCGGGGAGCTGACGGGGCTCCCTCCAGAAAACCAGCATTGAATGTAATGAAACGCCATTTTCTGGGTGAGTCCTAGAAGCTCCCCCGGCAACCCTCCCTTTCTCCCTCCGGTCGGTGTTTTTTTTCACGTGTTTTTGATATCCAGCCTCAGAACTGGGGTGTGGATGGCCGGCGAGGTGGTCTGCGGCTCCCCCTTTCCCTCCCGGGAGGGGGAAGCTGCGCAGACAGCTATGCGGCGATGTGTGACATCATACTCATTTGCTCTTTTCTGTTTGGGGAGTTCTATCCACTTGTTCAGCTTTTTGTAGCAATTTTCACCAGAATAGGGGTTTGTTTTGGGACGCTTACCTTTCTGGATGCCTAACCCGGTCGATGGCAGACATAGAATGCTTCCAACTACATGGGGGTTTCTATAGGCCATTGCTCCTCGTGCCTCTGTGAGGGGGGCCAGGTTCTGGCTCATGGTCCCTGGTAGGCCCACAGAACTCCATACACATGACTGATGCCAAAGCCTGATAGACACTCCGGGGAGCCTCCAGGACTCGCCCAGAAAATGGTGTTTCATTACGTTTAACGCTGGTTTTCTGGGTGCAGCCCCTTGAAGCTATATGTTGAGATGGTTACCATCTACTGAGTCACAGTCATGGTGTTCTAGAGGCCTACCGGGGACCGGAACCAGAACCTAGCCCCCCTCACAGGGAGTGGTGACATTTATCTTTGCCACCATATTGGGAAAGGCAACCAGAAATTCAGCTAGTCTAAACATACTACAGGGTACTTCTGGATTAAAAATGAGACCGAAGCTTTTGCATCGATTGGGTTTTGCATAGTAGGACATGTAGTGCGTTCTGAATGTTGCTCCTAATAACCAGAATTTACTACTTGGCCTACTATGCAAAGCCTGATTTGCCTAATAAGCCAAGGTTTCCTGAAATTATATATTTTTTTTTAAATTCTTATGGATATGAATCATGTGGACTTCAATATATTTTCCCCTCAACAGCCATGAAGCTGATGACGGCTTTAGTTGATGTTGCTCTCACTGTGTCAGTCAACTTGGACAACACCCAGCGTCAATATGAATCAGAGAGACAAAAGGTAAGTTATTTTTCAAAATGTAATTCTAGCTTTACAAATCAAAAGTTAACCTTCAATTTCGCATGAATGTGTAATTACCTAAGTTTTGTTACAAAATTTGAGCTATACTTGTGGTATCCTGTCTGCTATATGATGTTTTGAAGTTTCCAAGGCTTTAACCCTTAAATTGCGCACATTGTATCTATACAATTTTAGTAACTGTCACCAAACCCCCACACACCGTATATTTACAATTGAGGGTGCCGCACACAACATCCCACTGTTACACGGGGTTCACGGCAACTTCCTCAGGGCTCTAGTAAACAGACGCCTTTTGTATTTTAAATCGTGAGTAACATTCCAGGGTGTGAGAACCTCAGTTCTGAGTGAGCAACCAAGGCTGGTGCATGCAGAATGAGCTAACAGCACTGCTGTTCAGCTTGTGACCACAGCATTGCCTAAAAATGTCAAAATGTATATGTAACTGCTATTATTTAGCAATGATAGTATTACAGAAGATCCCTGACTGTGGTAAAAATGACCAGGATTCTGATAATAGCAGGATTGTGGTGATAATTAGCACTGTAGTATGGTGGGAGGAGTAATCTTGGTGAGGGAGGCAGGTAGTGTCGCCCGCTGACTCTGTGTGGCAACCTGTTATTGTCTGGACTCAGCATACCAGCTTAGTGGTTTGCTATGGTGAAGACAAATGTTGATACTTATATATAATGTGTGTATAGTGTAATAACAGCAAAAGGAGTATGTTGGGAGGAGCCATTTTGGTGAGGAGGGAGGGAGGGAGTGTCAGCTGACTGCATGGCGACCTCTGTTATTGTCTGAACTCACCATGCCAACTTAGTGGTTCGTTATAGTGAACAAAACATGTAGATACTTATATAACGTGTGTGTGTATAGTGTAATAACAGTACAAAGACTATGGTGGGAGGAGCCATTTTGGTGCGGGAAGGAGTGACGCGCTGTCGTCTGGTAGTTACTGTGTCACTTATCATGCAGTTTTGTGTTTTCACTGTGTTGTTTGGACACCATACCAGCTTAGTTGTACAGTTATGGTGAACAAAACATGTAGGTACCTATATATAATGTCTGTATATAATATAATAAAAGCAAAAAAGTATAGTGGGAGAAGGAATGTTGGCGAGTGAGATGTTGGTGAAGGAGGGAAGGTGGCGGCGTTTGCTGGCTGGTGTGTAATTATCTAAGTGTAGTTACAGGATGAGAGCTACGCTTGTGGTGTCCCGTCTTCCCAGCACTCTTTGTCATATAACGCTTTGAAACTACTGACAGTCTTGGCCTCCACCACCTTCTCACCTAACTTGTTCCAATTGTCTACCACTCTGTTTGCGAAAGTGAATTTTCTTATATTTCTTCGGCATCTGTGTTTAGCTAGTTTAAATCTATGACCTCTTGTTCTTAAAGTTCCAGGTTTCAGGAAATCTTCCCTATCGATTTTATCAATTCCTGTTACTATTTTGTATGTAGTGATCATATCACCTCTTTTTTTTTCTTCTGTCTTCTAGTTTTGGCATATTTAATGCCTCTAACCTCTCCTCGTAGCTCTTGCCCTTCAGTTCTAGGAGCCACTTAGTAGCATGTCTTTGCACCTTTTCCAGTGTGTTGATGTGCTTCTTAAAATATGGGCACCACACAACCGCTGCATATTCTAGCTTTGGCCTAGCAAAAGTCGTGAACAATTTCTTTAGTATATCGCCATCCATGTATTTAAAAGCAATTTTGAAGTTAGAAAGCGTGGTATTGGCTCCTCGCACAATATTTTTTATGTGGTCCTCAGGTGATAGTTTTCTATCTAGAACCACCCCTAGATCTCTTTCTTTATCAGAATTCTTTAAAGAATTCTCACATAATATGTAGGTTGAGTGGGGTCTATGTTCTCCTATTCCACATTCCATAACATGACATTTATTAACATTAAATTTCGTTTGCCAAGTGTTGCTCCATCTACAGTGGTACCTCGGAATGCGATTGTCCCTGTATGCGAGGTTTTCGGAAGGCGAGGTGTATTTACTCCAAAAATTTGTCTCAGAAGGCGAGGGTTACTTCGGGAGGCGAGTTTGGACGCGAGTTTGTTGATACGCGTACAGCCGACCTAGCGCGTTCGTCGCCCCTCCGCCCCTCAGTTTATTATTGTCTGGCGCTCAGTGACTACCCCCACATCAATTCTTCTCGCGGATTTTCAGTGTTTTGTTGGATTTTTGGTGATTTGTCTATACAATTTGTTATTATATATCTCACCATGGGTCCCAAGAAAGCCAGTGGTAAGGATAAAGGCCAGAAAGCTCCTGTGAGGATGACAATAGAGGAGAAACAAGAGATCATTCGGAAGCATGAGAACGGTACACGTGTTGTTGAACTTTGTAGGCAGTACAACAAAGCCACATCAACAATATGCACTATACTTAAGAAGAAAAATAAGATTATGGGTGCTAAAGTGGCAAAAGGAGTAAGAACATTAACGGCACAAAGACCACAAATACTTGAAGAAGTGGAAAAGTTGTTATTAATTTGGATACACGACAAGGAGTTGAGGGGTGATAGTGTTTCGGAGGCCATTATTTGTGAGAAAGCCAGGGTGTTGCACGAAGACCTTCTAAAGAATACCCCTGCAACGAGTGATGCAGATAAGAAAGAGTTTAAGGCAAGCAGGGGCTGGTTTGAAAAATTTAGAAAGAGAAGTGGTATCCATAGTGTTACAAGGCATGGGGTTATGTGATGTGATTATGGAAGGGGACTCCCCTTCCAAACAGTAACTCCTCTCCTCCTCCCCCCTCCTCACCATCTTCCATACGCCTACAGCACTCGACAGCAAGGTAAGTAATAACTGGAACACAGTTTTGTAGGTTTATTTAGATGAATTAGGTAAATTAGGTATAAAAATTTAGTTTGATGTGGGGTTTTTGGGGTAGTCAGGAACGGATTAATTCATTTCCCTTTATTTCTTATGGGGAAATTAACTTCGGAATGCGAGTTTTCGGAAGGCGAGGCGTCTCCAGGAACGGATTAAACTCTTATTCTGAGGTATGCCTGTACTTATTTTGTCCAGGTCATCTTGAAGGGCATAACAATCATCTAAGTTTCTCTTGTTGTTTTGACTCACCATACCAACTTAGTGGTTTATTATGGTGAACAAAACATGCAGATACTTACATGTAACGTGTGTATATAGTGTAATAACAGCAAAACTATTTTATTGTTTTATGAACATAATTGAATCACTAATATGCACACCATACTTTTAAGTATAGCGATGGTTCACACATTTTATTGTATAAATATATCACTCTAATAAATAATATTACTGGAAAAAAATCAAGAAAAAATCAGACACATTGAAATAATTAGGTAAATAATATCTTTGTGGCAACTCCCGCCTGACAGCTCGAACAGAACTTACCGCCTCCGACACTTACTCTGTCAACGCCTCAATTTTGCCAGACTTCCTTGCCCTATTATGGCCCATTGTGTGTGTGGCCCACACTTTTATAAGACAAAAAAATAATTGAATATTTTATTTCTTGTGCACAGTGGTGTTGAAGGCTATTAACCCTTAAGCAGCTAATGGGTCCTGAGGGAATTTATACCCCTGTGCTCAAGGAAAAAAAAATTCTACAATTTATTTTCGTCTTCTAAAAATGTTAATTTGTGTTCCCTGAGCACGGGAAAAATAAAAAAATATCGTAGGTGACATATTTTGGGCCAAATAGGCCGAGGATTTCTTGCAAAATGTGGGCGTTGACAGAACGGTCGTCAGAGGCGGTCAGCATCACCCGAGCTGTCAGGTGGGAGTTGTCACAAAGATATTATTACCTAATTATTTCAATGTCTCTGATTTTTTCTTAGTTTTTTGTAGTAATATTATTCAATAGTGTGTAGTGTGATAGATTTACATAATGTGTTAATCATCGTTATACTCAAAAGTATGGTGTTCATATTAGTTGGTCAATTATTACGTTCATAAAACAATAAACAAATAGTTTTGCAGTTATCACACTATATACACACATTATATATAAGTATCTACATGTTTTTTCACCACAACTGTACAACTAAGCTGATATAGTTAGTTTAGGCATTAAGAGACATATCTACACTCACAGTCAGCTGGTGGCTACCCCCCCCTTCCCTCACTCATTCAGGGTCAGGCGCACTAAATTTCTCCCCCAACCAACCTTTCCAACCTTTCTGGGTGCCTGACCTGGTAGATGGCAGACAAAGACTGCTTCCAATTACACGGGGGGTGTCTTTAGGCCATTGCTCCTCGTGCCTCTCTTGAGGGGGCCAGGTTCTGGCTCTGGTCCCCGGTAGGCTTAGAAATCCTTCGATTGACTGTTGCCATGATCTAATATATACATATCAGCCTGGTATAGCTCCGTGGAGCCTCCGGGTCTCACCCAGAAAATGGCGTTTCATTACATTCAATGCTGGTTTTTTGTGAAAAGAATCTCTAGCTTATTATTTTCTAGTTGGTTTTACAACATTTTACTGATTTAAGGCAAATCTTTCACCCATCTGGAAGAGGTTATTTGTATGTAACTGTTCATTAAGACTACTACCTGGGATTCTGTCTGATATAATATTTTTCATATTTTTCCATTTTATGTTCTGAAAATTTATTTAAGTCACCGAGCAAGGTAATGTTTGGAGCTGGATTTGATAGGTTTTAAGTATTACTGTATTCGATTTTCATTAGTTTGTCTTTAAACTGCTGAGGACTTGTGTTTGGTGACATACAAGACAATAACTACATTTAGGATTTTGTTTTTGTAGTATTAGCTTCCACTGGAACCTAATATTCCTGTGCAATGGCTATGTTCACTCTTTTCCCACATTTGTGAAATTTGGCAAACTTTTACAAACTTTTTATTTTCTTTAATAATTAATATTACAATATCTCTTCATAGTCTCGTGAGAAACGTGCATCTGATCGTCTGGAATCTCTGATGTCAAAGAGGCAAGAGTTAGAAGAAAACATGGATGAAATTAAAAATATGCTGACATACATGTTTAAATCTGTTTTTGTTCATAGATACAGGTATGTATCGTATTTGATTTTATTACTATTACTGTATAAGAATAAATATGCATTACCGATACTGTAGTTCAATTCATATACTATACATTAATTTGATAGATTTTAGTTTAGATAAATTTGTTAGGAAAGTTATAGTTGAAAACTCGAGTCAAATGTGATATTAGTGATTAATTTTTTTTTTTTTTCATTCAGGGATACCTTGCCTGAAATTCGCTCTATTTGCATGGCTGAAATTGGATTATGGATGAAGAAGTTTCACCAGAACTTTTTGGATGATTCATATCTGAAGTACATTGGTTGGACACTCCATGACAAAGTTGGTGATGTCCGCTTAAAATGTTTGCAGGCACTACAACCCCTTTATGCTAGTGAAGAGCTCCAGGGAAAACTAGAACTATTCACTAGTAAATTTAAGGATCGCATTGTGGCCATGACACTTGATAAGGAGTATGATGTTGGTGTTCAAGCAGTAAAATTAGTGATTTCCATTCTTAAACATCACCGGGATATCTTAACAGACAAAGACTGTGAACATGTGTATGAATTAGTGTATTCATCCCATCGTGCTGTGGCTCAAGCAGCAGGAGATTTTCTTAATGAACGTCTTTTCATTCCTGATGATGATGCTGTAGCTGCTTTAAGAACTAAGCGTGGCAAGAAACGTCGACCAAATACTCCTCTTATTCGAGATCTTGTACAATTTTTCATTGAGTCAGAGGTAAGGAAAAGGCTTTCTTTATAATTTGTATATCCTTTTTTACATCTAAAGGTTATCAGCCTCTTTATCATTTTGTGGTAGTTTGCTTTACATAGACAGTACATATTGAGTGTGCACACTTCCATGTACATATGAGCAGATAATTTTTAAGGTTTTGGTAATACTGCAGCTTACATTTCCCAAATGATGTTGAATATTTTACTATTCATATTATATTTTATTTCTATGTGTAAGTACAACCACTTTTACAACTGAAAATACATAATTTTCAGCTACATGAACATGGAGCATACTTGGTAGATTCTCTGATCGAGAGTAATGAAATGATGAAAGATTGGGAGTGTATGTCTGACTTGCTGCTAGAAGAACCAGGCCCCTTGGAGGAGCCCCTTGATGATCGGCAGGAGACTAGCCTCATTGAAATAATGGTGTGTTGTATCAAGCAAGCTGCAACTGGTGAACCACCAGTTGGACGTGGACCAACGAGGAAGGTATAATATGCTTCTTTCTTTTTTTCCCCCTCTGCTGCTGAATACTCTCTCCTAATTGTGTTTGCATGAAGTTAATTCCATCTTCTAGACACTGCCTCTTAGTAATTATTTGACTAGTATGAAGACTCCCAAAATTTCATGAATTTTTAATATTTGTATGAATCTTGTGTGTGTGTAGTGAGCCTCACTACCTGCTGTTGTATAGCAGGCATAGGTAGACTTTCTCTGTCAGACAATCTCAGTAAGGCATGGAGTCTGTTAGGCATTAAACAGTCTGAATCTCAGGTATTATTCCATGTATAAAAGGCCACCCAGGAAATCATTGATGATGTGGGGATTGTTGGGTGTCGGGGGACAGAATATGAAGATGTCATGGGTGGGGGATTGGGAGGCGTCTCTCAGATGGGGATGTGGCGGGTGTCAAGGGTTTGGATTGGGAAGGTGTTGGGGGGATGGGAGAAACCCCCACACCCACTTTCCCTTTGAGGAGCCACTTGATGGTCGGCAGGAGACTAGCCTCATTGAAATAATGATGCGCGGTATCAAGCATCAAGCATGGGGGGTAAGTATCAAAGTGGAGTGGAATGGAGTCAGTATCAAACCCCCATTCATCACCCATGGGAGATGAGTGTGTGTGTGTGGGGGGGGGGTTATTGGGAGTATGTGGTGGGTGTCAGGACTAGGAGGGTGGATTGGTCTAGGGCAGGTGTGTCGGGAGTAGGTGGGTGGGTATGGGTGTTGGGAGTAAGCGGATGTGGGTGCATGGGTGTCAGGTTAAGAGTGGTAGCTCTTACAAGTCCTCAATGGCACATGAACTCTCATTTGAACAAGATCAGATCATGTTTACTCTGTTGGTGGGTTGGGATTCATGGGTTGGTGGTGGGAGGTGTTTACACATGAGATAAGTTACTAATATAATGCACAATGTATAGTATCTTAATTTATTTATTTGTGTAATTAGACCTCTTCACTCTTCAAACATATGCTGTTTCAGGGGGGGAGCCCCTTTGACTTCCCGGAGCTATCCAGGCTGATATACTAATGTCAGACTTTGGCATCAGTCATGTGTATGGAGTTCTGTGGGCCTACCGAGACCACGAGCCATAACCTGGCCCCGTCAGAGAGGCATGGGGAGCAATGGCCTATAGAAACCCTCGTGTGGTTGGAAGCATTATATGTCTGCCATTGACCGGTTCAGGTATCCAGAAAGGTAAGCGTCCCAAAACAAACCCCTTTTCTGGTGAAAATTGCTACGAAAAGCTGAACAAGTGGATAGAACTCCCCAAAAAGAAACGAGCAAATGAGCATGATGTCACACGTCGCCGCGCCACTGTTTGTGCAGCTCCCCCCCTCCCCAGAAGGGAAAAGGGGCAGCCCTAGACCACTACGCCGGCTATCCACCCATCAGTTCTAAGGCTGATGCTAGAGGCTGAGGTTGTGTGCTCTGGCTCCAGTGATTTTCAGCACTGTGCTTTGCGTGTAGTGATTGTCCTCCAGGGGTGTGCGAGCCAGGAGTTATTCTACAGTACTTGGGCTGCATGCGCTTACAGTTATCGTCCCTAGGTGCCCTGTAAGTACTGCCCTTGGGGCCATCTTCTGAAAGTTCCTTGGGTCCTAGTCCTACCTGATACCTGATCAACCAGGCTGTGACTCATACGTCAGGCTGCGAGCAGCCGCGTCTAACAGCCTGGTTGATCAGTCCAGCAACCAGGAGGCCTGGTCGACGACCGGGCCGCGGGGACACTAAGCCCCGGAAGCACATCAAGGTAGCCTCAAGGTAGGTAACCTCTGCTGTGCCGATTTACTGCTCGGTTTTCGACCACCCTTTGGGTGCTTGGGGGTTTTGTCTCCCTTGTTTACCGTAGGGGTAAGAGGCAGTTTGCACTGGTACGGGGCACAGGGTGCTGCGCAGCAGGTTTTCACCATTCATAGCGGCTGGTTCTGTTCCTTTTGGGTATGTTGTCCTCTTGCCGGGTTTCCTTTTTCTTTTTTCCTGGTGGGGTGTCTGCTTTGCTTGTACTTTGTACCTGACCTGAGTACGGTTCTCTTCTAGTGGTACCCCTGCTAGGTCCCCGTGAGTGTACACGTCCCTGTGGTTCAGCTTTAGAGAGTTGCGCGGTTGTTTTGGGCGCTGGTTGGCAGTACCCTGCCTGGGATTCCCTGAGCGTGAGTTCCGTCTCAAGACCCTGGGAAACCCCAGGGAGAGCACGGGTCCGATTGACGTGACTCCTGGGTCCCCCCCCCCCCCTCGCTTTGTGCGAGTTCTAGGGTTGCTCGGTCCCCTTGTCTCAGGGTGACTCACTGTTTTGGCCTCCGTCACTTCAGCGGGTACAGGCGGTACAGACATGGGGGTGATGGTCGCTTCGGCCTTGGTTCAGTCCGCCGCACCCCCTTCCTCCTTTTCCTACTGTAGTTCGTTCTGCCCCCCTCCCCCAGCTTCCATCCTCGAAATGTCTGAGGGTTTCGAAGTTGGGGCAGGGTTTAGATGGTCTTGAGACTCGGGCAGTCTCGGGGGATGCCCCTTCTGGGGTGGCGACGGAGGCATTCGAGTCCGATCTCCCAGCTGAAGCCTCCTGGTCTGACCAGTGGGCCCCCCTTCCGTCCGGCTTACACGGCTGCGCAGGCCTTTTCTTTTGAGGCCGGTGCTCCCTTTTGGCTGCACAGGTTGCTGAGTACTTGCGCACCCGTGGCCTCTTGGCTTTGGCCTTGTGTTTCTTTTCCCTCCTGAAGCTGTCTTCAGATTGGCTTGAGGAAGATGTGGGGACGCTTGGGTCCATTCCTGGGTCTGGTGCCTTGGGCTCGGCGGCTCACTAGTCGGCTGCCTTGTTGAAGCTCTTTGCACCGATCCTGCGGAATGTGGTTTTGCTGTTTTATGCTTCCCGGCTCACGTGTTGGCAGGGGGTGCTTGCCTCCTCTCTGGAATTGGGCTGGGCCCTGGCTCTTAGGATGTCCTCTCCTTTTTGTCCTCTGCTCTTTGCGGATTCTGCCATGCCGCAGTATTTGCAGGTTGCTTCGTCTAGTTGTCGTCCTATGTCTGGTTTGTTGGTTCTCCAGGGGTCCCAGGGGGGGGGCCTTCCTGGAGGGGTCATGCCAGGGCTCTGGGTTCTTCTTGTCGGGGTAGGCCACTGGTGCCAGTTTCGGGTCCGGCCCCGCCTTCGGACCCCTCCTTCGTCTGGTTGTCGCGGTGTTTGCTCTGTGCGAGGTTCGGGGTCTCGTAAGGAGCGCCGGCCCTTTCGCATATGGGGGGGGGGGGAGACTTGCGCTGTTTGCTCACGCCTGGTTCCACAATTTGTGGGCGTTTTGGGTCGTTTCCTTTGGCCTGCTGTGGTGTTGGGTGGCCCCCTCCTTCGGTGAGTTCGGGGCTGGCCTCTTTTCCTGCGCTCTGTCGAGTCGCCTTGGAGTGGGTGTGCCAGGGCGTGGTCGAAACGATGACGTCCCTCAGGTGGGTTCATTTCTGAGGTTCTTTCTGGACTTGTCCTGTCTGAACCCTTGGGTTCATTGCCCCTCCTTTCGGATGACTGCGTTGTCCCAGGTTCGGCTTCTGTTGGCGTTGGGCTCTAGGATGGTGTCCCTGGACCTCCGGGATGCTTATTGGCACATCCCGATTCATCCGGGGTTCAGGGACTGGCTCGGTTTTGTTGTGGTGTGTCAATGTTACTTCTTTCGTTGTCTCTCGTTCGGGTTGAACCTGGCACTTCGCATGTTCACACGCCTGACCCGGGTCATCGTGGCCCGTTTGCGTCTCTTATGTGTTTGGGTGTTGGCCTGCCTCGACAACTGGCTGGTTTGGGCTCCCAGCCAGTCCTCTTTTCTGCTAGCCATGGATTTGGTTCTTTCCCAGCTCGCCGGGTTCGGGTTCTTGGTGAACTGGAGGAAGTCCCATCTGGTTCCCTCCCAGGTTCGGACCTGGCTGGTTCTTGTGTGGGACTCTCGGACTGCTTCCTTGTCACTTCCTCCGGAGTCTCTCCTACGGCTGCGGTCCCTCATGCGCCTGTTTCTGGGGGGGCTTTCGGGTCACCCATTCGCCCACCCACCCTGCCACCCATTCTTTATGCGCATCTGCTCCTGTGTGTTCTTGTTGCCTTGGGTTGCAGGTTGTAACCTGTTGTCTCGGCTTCGCGTTGCGGAGTTTGTGGCAGTCGCCTCCCGGGTTAGCCCCTTTTTTTCTTTTTCTTTGGGTATGAAGCTCCAGGGAGCTGTAGGGGCTCCCCACAGAAAACCAGCGTTGAATGTAATGAAACGCCATTTTCTGGGTGAGCCCCGGAAGCTCCCTGGCAACCCTCCCTCCCACCGGTCGGCTGTTTTTTTCCATTGGTTGACAATTAGCTTCCGAACTGAAGCTAAGCAGCTGGCGCGGGTATGTTCAGGGCTCCCCCCTTCCCCTCTCGGGGCGGGGAGGGCTGCGCAGACGATCGGCGCGGCAGTAAAGTGTGATAATGCTTGTTTGCTTGTTTCCTTTCGATTGTAGGGAGTTTCTATCTCTCTGTTCGGTTTTTTGTTTTAGTTTTTTACCGTGTGGGGTTTGTTTTGTTATGCCTACCTTTCTGGGTTCCTGACCCCGGTCGATGGCTAAGGAAAACCCAAACCACAAGGGGGTTTTTCAGGGGCATTGCTCCCTGAAACCTCTCTGTAGGGGCCAGGTTCTGGCGCTGATCCCTGGTAGGTCTGAACTCATTAGCTAATGTCCCGGTCTAATATAACATACATTAGCCTGATAAGCTCCAGGGAGCCTCCGGGGCTCACCCAGAAAATGGCGTTAAATTTCATTCAACGCTGGTTTTTCTGTGGGGAGCCCCTACGGCTCCCTGGAGCTTATCGGGCTAATGTATGTTATGTTAGACCGGGACATTAGCTAAGGAGTTCAGACCTACCAGGGACCAGCGCCAGAACCTGGCCCCTTCAGAGAGGTTTCAGGGAGCAATGGCCCTGGAAAACCCCATATGGTTGGGGGTTTTCCTTATCTGCCATTGACCGGGGTTAGGCACCCAGAAAGGTAGGCG